TTCCAAATTAAAAAAAAAACATTTTTAAACAAATATAAACCTGCTTAATGGCTTTGTTTAATAATGAATCATCCAAAATTTCTGAAGGAATTTGTTTTACAGCTCGATTCAATTGTTTTGATTTAGAGGAATCAGCTAATTGGCATAAATTAAAATAAATTAAAATAAAAGTTTTCTTTTTTTAATACAAAAATTAAATAATAAAAATTACTTAAAGCAAAGTTTGCACTTTCTTCAATGTTATCTATTTGATCATTTTCTTGTCTTTTTTTTGTTGCGGCAGCTTTCCCAATAAATCTTTTATGAGGTTTTTTGCTTGAAGTTTCTGACATTTTATTAAATAGGAAGAAAAGAATTTGATTTTGATCAGATCAAATAATTTGTGCACATGATTAGAATGTTTATGGTGTCACCGCAAAAATACACACGAGTATTTTTGATTGGTCACATAGTAATAGATAAACTCGATAAGTCGGATTTGGCCTAACTCGGACAAAAATTTTCAGCCTTCTTTTTTTATATTTAAAAATTTCTTGATAAGTCGGACACATATATAAACTCTTGTTAAGCTGTAAGTCAATTCACATGATTTTCATAAATCTTGAGAGATAATCTTTACAGTCAGATGACATTTCATGCAATCGACATGTCTACTATAATATTTACTATTTTAGTAATGTATGATCCAATAAATTTCTGTAATAATAATTTCATCATTATTCATGATAGATGTTGGGAAAAAACAGGTATTCTACCTGATAATGAAGTTGACCGACCTATTACTATGAAAGTTGATCCTGAAATAGATGAAGTACAATTACTTATTGATCAAATCAATGTTAATAATGATGATAATATTATTACAGCAAGAAGTTACATTGATATTGATTCAGATTTAGGAACTGAAATACTTGATGATGACGAAATTATTGCAACAGTTCAAGAAGCACCTGAAGAAGAAGAAGAAGAAGAAGAAGATATTGGCCCACCAATACCTAATAAAATTGCTTTAGAAAGCATTCAAAATCTATATAATTACTTGCAACAGAATAATGATATACAAGTAAATAAATAGTTCATTTGTTTCAGAATTAATAGAAAACAAAATAATTCTTTAGAGAATTTTTTGTTTTATCTTCTATCTGTTTTATTAAATTATTTTTATAAATAAATAAATGATTTAAACATGATTTTTTTATTTTTGTATTTTTTTTTTGTAATTGCATATTTTGATAATTCAGATCTCTTGATAAGTCAGACACCATGTCCAGCCATTTGTCCAACTTATTGAGTTTATCTATTTAATAAAGAATCTTATTTTATTTAATTGACTGATACATGCACATATATGTATATATTTTTACATGCAAATTTTGTGGTGGTGTTATATAGTCTGTGCAGTGCCACTTTTCTAAATGGTACTTTTTACAATACTCTTCACATATAAATTGCTGATCTTTTTTTGAAGTGTTTATTAAATGTGTAACCTCCATCTATCCATAAAAGGATTTTTGACTATGCTGTCTGTCGATCAAATAACAAAATTCATCTTTAAAAAAAAATGCTGAGAAAAGAAAGAAGAAATAAAGAAAAAATAAGAAAATATCACCAAATAAGTGTTTATCACAAGAATGGTAGTGGTCGCCACTTGTCATCACTCAAGTTGTTCATTAACATTCTTAAATCATTATGATAAATTATCTGAACATTTACAGCCATCATTCTAGTCATTCATAAATTTTATTTAGAGTGGAAAATAATGTTGAAAAATATGAAGAATTCAGCAATGAGGTGATGATAATGATGATAATGATGATGATAATGACGATGATTAAAAAAATATGGACATTCTTGGTGCCATGCCACCTGAGACTGTGGTGTTCTATGGCTGTTGATCATCAAATATATGTTACATCAATATAACAAATTATTATGTGCGGATTTTTTAGTATCTTTATCATATATTTCAACACAATATATTTTTTTGAAACATGAATTATAAAAAGAAATTTCTATTAATTTATCGAGTTACACTATCTTTTATGAATACAAAATTAATTCAAATGGTTACCAAGGAAAATATGACTAGAATTAAACTGGATTTAAAATTAAATGGCAAAACAAATAAGAGAAAAATTGAGTTTTTGTTCACAATATGTATAAAAAAATATTTTCCAAGTGAAATTTACAATAGAACTAAAAAAAAAATAGTAGTCAATATAATATACATTTGATTAAGTCAAATGTGAATATTTGTTTGCTAATTAAAAATTAAACAATGTAAAGACCAAAGGAAATTACTAATTAGTTTGTTTGCTCAATTCTAACCACACATTGACCAAGAGATATAATAGCATTTAACTAGTAGTATTCCCACCAAGGTGGAGAGGATGCAGAATTACTTTCATAATTATTGGAACATATCTGTTGTATGAAATAGAGATGATGATATATCTCTTTGTAGTGATGATTTTCTGAACACGGAAGAGGTGATACTATTAGATCTGGTATCATTATGTGCCAATCTTCAGAAATTGCTTGTTCTTCTAATTCTTTTTCTAACATAAAACCATTGGAAAACAAATGTTTCTTCCAAACTAACATATTACTATCAACAATATTTCTCCATTCTTTATTGACCTGGATTGCTTTACATAAACTTGGAGCATCTAAAAATTATAGTATATATAAGGACGTCTCAGGTTGGGGTGTGAGATGCCCTAATTAAATCAAAATTAGGTGATGTAACATAATGCCAATCATGCCACCTGAGACTGTGGTGTTCTATGGCTGTTGATCATCAAATATATGTTACATCAATATAACAAATTATTATGTGCGGATTTTTTAGTATCTTTATCATATATTTCAACACAATATATTTTTTTGAAACATGAATTATAAAAAGAAATTTCTATTAATTTATCAGTTGCAATGTAAATTTTTATGGTAAAATTTAATAATAAATTGAATAACTTTAAACCATGATAACTTTTTTTTTTTATAATAAAATTAAACAAAACTTTTTATAGTTTTATTGTTTAAGTCTTCTATAATAAAGTTACAGAGAGCTTTTTTCCCTATCTCATTTGGTTATAAGGTTTTCCTATTAGCAATCTTTTTTAGGATATAAAAAAAAATTTTTTTTTATTTAGCAAAAAAAACTTTCTGTAATCTAAAAGCTTAATATATTTACTATAATTTCCCTTAGTTTCATGTCTGTATCTCTTTATTTGAAGGCTCTGATACAATTTTTATTTATATAGTTTTTATATATATTCTTATTTTTTTCAAAAAAAAGTGTTATTGATTGGCATTATGTTACATCACCTAATTTTGATTTAATTAGGGCATCTCACACCCCAACCTGAGACGTCCTTATATATACTATAATTTTTAGATGCTCCAAGTTTATGTAAAGCAATCCAGGTCAATAAAGAATGGAGAAATATTGTTGATAGTAATATGTTAGTTTGGAAGAAACATTTGTTTTCCAATGGTTTTATGTTAGAAAAAGAATTAGAAGAACAAGCAATTTCTGAAGATTGGCACATAATGATACCAGATCTAATAGTATCACCTCTTCCGTGTTCAGAAAATCATCACTACAAAGAGATATATCATCATCTCTATTTCATACAACAGATATGTTCCAATAATTATGAAAGTAATTCTGCATCCTCTCCACCTTGGTGGGAATACTACTAGTTAAATGCTATTATATCTCTTGGTCAATGTGTGGTTAGAATTGAGCAAACAAACTAATTAGTAATTTCCTTTGGTCTTTACATTGTTTAATTTTTAATTAGCAAACAAATATTCACATTTGACTTAATCAAATGTATATTATATTGACTACTATTTTTTTTTTAGTTCTATTGTAAATTTCACTTGGAAAATATTTTTTTATACATATTGTGAACAAAAACTCAATTTTTCTCTTATTTGTTTTGCCATTTAATTTTAAATCCAGTTTAATTCTAGTCATATTTTCCTTGGTAACCATTTGAATTAATTTTGTATTCATAAAAGATAGTGTAACTCGATAAGTCAGTTCTGGCCTAACTCAACCAAAAAGTTCTATCCTTTTTTTTTAACTATTTAAAAAAATTCAATAAGTCAATTGATCTATATAAAGTCATGATAAGTGCTAAGTCGGTAAATCATTTAGCCCAAGTATAATTAAATGAATCATGCATGATAAATCGGTCTCATGTGATATTTCATTATGTGAAGGGTCATCATTACTATTTTAGTAATGTATGATTAAATATTATTTTTTTGTTACCAAAATGATTATTATAAAATATCTGATGTAAAAAAACTATCTTTATTGTTCATTTTTTATAATTTAGAAGGAAAAGAGCATTCTCACTTGTGAACTACATTCATGTTTTATTACCCCCATCAGTTATAATGCATCATCACACATCCATTTTTTCTTGTCAAGTAATTTTAAAAAGAGAACTTTTTTCGCTTTAATTATTTGATGATTTATCATGAATAATGCATTAATATTTTGTTATCTCAGCAGTTGTATCATCGATTTTATCATAAATAATGCATTAATATATTATTATCTCATCAGTTATATCATCAAGAATTTAGAGAACATTCTTGTCTAATCACAAACAATACATCTGTATTCATTTATCTCATTTTTATACCATCATTTTTATTTATATCATCACTTATATTATTGATTATCTAGTGTGAAAAAATACATTTATATTCCTATTAAATTTTATTATGTTCAGAAATATGTATAAAAAGATTGATTTTGCAAGATAGATAAATAAAAATTTTAAAATTAAAAATCACGTGAAATTCGATAAGTCGGTCACAGGGGTCCATCCCGACATGACCGACTCGTCAAGTTTACGGAGTAATTTATTTAACTTATTATTATATTTATATTAAATAAATCTAAATCTATGTAGGGTTCAAAATTTTGACCAATATGGTAATTCTGGTAACATTTCCGCATAATGCTGGTTAATTTTGGACCCTACGTAGGTTTACGCAAGATTTATTTGATTGTAAGGATTGATTTTTTAAAAATAAAAAAAGGGATCATTGTTAAATCATTTTAATATTATTCAAATACAAACAGAAAAGAATGAGGCTTTTCTCCTACGGTTCATAGAGGCTTTGATTGCCTGGATTTAAGTTAACTGTTAAAATATCGTTAATTGTTACCTTTTTTATCCTATAATCAATTCAATTACTCCTTTATCATTAATATTAATTTTTATCGTTGTTGCTATTTTTATGGAAATATTGCTAAAAAAAAAGAGGTAAAAAAAGGCTTGTAATCGCGAGACTTGCCAAATTTACAAAAAATTTAGTAATCACGAACGAGGCTTAGCTAGATTTTGGCACATTAACCAATTAATCTTCACTTATAATCAATCATCTAACAAAAATACATAAGCGTGTAATAACGAAATAAATATTAATATCAATAATTTTTTTTCGACTAACACTAATGATGTCAAGCAGCATCCCATTCTTTGTATATGACAAGATCACGTGATAATTTGAGCTTAATCATAAAATTCATAAAAAAAGAATTCGTAGAGTACATCAATTCGTTACCCGTACCCTTGAGTCAAAAAAGATGAATAAAAAAATATATACTTAAAAATAACTAACTAAATAATTGAATATTTGATTAATTAAATTAAATATCTATATTAATAATTTTATTTAAAGCAAAATCTGAAAATAGATTCAGAACGCATGCCCATCTAAAGCTGGATCAACAACATCACCCGAAAGAAAAGTTTGTCGGAAATAGGCTTTATGTGTTTTCATTTCTTTCCATTTATGTAATCATTAATAACATTACATTCTTTCATTAGCGCAATAATAAATGTAACAAGTGAATTTTATGAATAATTTAATGAGATTATTAATAAAAATTGAACTATCGTTTAATGAAATATTTGTTAAAGAACAAATATGTGTTTATTATTAGGTGATAACATTTTTTAAGAAAAAAAAACAACCAAAAACAGTTGTTGAATGATGTATAATAAAATTCGACAGGAATTTTGCCATTAAAATTTTCACGTGACTAAATTAACTATTATTAAATGATAGTTTGACTTTGGTTTAGACTCTTGCTATTTAAAGACTTTTGAATTGTTATAAAAATTTTCTAGCATTGTAATAGTTAACCGGTTAAAGAATTTTTGTGTAGTGCTAACTCTAGGCTTAGCCGACAATTACATAAAAAAATTTTTTCATCAGTTTTTCGTAAGGGAAATTAGCAATTTGAATACAAAATTCGAATTCGAACAAAATTACTTGATAATAACAATTCAATAAAAATTTTGACTTCCAAGGAATCACGTAAATAATAAAAATATTATAATGTATGTATAATTATTACTATACATGAAATAAAGCTTACGTGAGAAAGTGGGAGAATTTAACTAATTAATTAGATTAATCAGTAGTTGATGCTTTGAAATGGAAAAGGAATTATTTTTGACTGAATGAAAGAATTTTTAATGCCATTAATAATGTTTAATAATATTTTTTCAATAGGTCTTCATACGATCCGTATGTACCTAAGGAGGGCGCTGCTGGTGGTCCGCCTTCAAAGACTGTAGAAATTCAAAAAAAAATTGATGATACAGTAGAAGTTATACGTGATAATCTTAAATTTGTTGCTGGAAGGGGAGAGAAATTAGATAATTTACAAGATAAAACTGGTAATTTATGTTGGAAAGTAAAGATTCTATTAAATAATTTAGCAATGTCTTCTCACTAATTTTTTTTTTTTTTTTTGTAAATAGAAAATCTGTCAAAATCGGCAAAAGGATTTCATCTTTTCTCAAATGAAGTACGAAAAAAAACGTGGTGGAAAGATATGAAAATGAGAATTATTATTGCTGTTGTTATAATCATTTTATTATTGATTATTATTTGTAAGTAATATCGATTATTATAATAATACGGAGAAAATATTTATAACAAGGAACATATTAAAATTAATAATCTTTTTTTTTTGTAGTGCCAATTGTTCTCAATCAAAAATAATTCGTCCATTAATGAAAATTATATTTTCATGTCAATTTTATAAATAATAAAAAAACATCAAAGAAATTGAACTTCATTATTACTATTATTGTTGTTGTTGTTTTTCTTTAATTTGAAAACGCATATTTTATTTCTTGTATATTATTTTAATATTGTATAAATATTTTTTTCTTTCATGATTAAATAATTTATTAACAAATAAATAAGAATATATTTCACTTGTAAAATAGTTAACTTGTTTGGTTCACAACTATGACGCCTGTTCGTGATCTATGTTTAGGCAACTTTCCTGATAAATCTTGATTGTTATTTCTGGTGTCAAAAAACCTTTTCCATAAAAATTTCCAAATCTATACACAATCATATCTGATAAATATTATTTATATTTTGCCAATCAATATATATATATTTATCAATCTTAACTACCTTCTTGCGCATGCATTTTTGGGGGTGTCACACTTATAGATCAACAAATCTAATTAATGAGCGGATTTTTTAGTGTTACCTGAAAATTTCATGGTGGAATTTTTTTCACAACTGGTATTTATTACCCGCAAAAATCTCTCTATTCAGCCAAACTAGATATATTATACTATTTCATATTCAAAGTTGAGAATAATATATCTCTTTTTCACAGACTAGTAGCATTTTGAAAATACGATTTATTTATTATTTTCTTTGCGTTGTTGATCATTAAAAAAAATTAACTTATTGATCGACACTATATGACATTACTTAATTTTGATTTAATTAGACTGTGACACCCCCCTATTAGAGATGTTCCATGCGCATGAAAAAAAATGTAATGCGCATTGCATCATGCGCATCATGCAATATCACATACAGAAAATGCGGAAATTAAATTTTACCCAATTAAAATTAAACACGCATTTTTACATTATAATTAATTTTTTTATCATTAAAATTGCCCGTAAAACATTTATACTATTCTTTAAAAATGACAAATTCAGACATTTGGTCTCATTTTACCAGATTGGGTAAAGTTAGTGGTTATAAGCAAAATAGAGCAAGTTGCAAATATTGTAACTATGATTTAAACGAAGCTCTTGGAAGGTGTAAACAACATTTGAAGAAATGTAATTTTGTACCTGTTTCTATCATGCAATCTATATTTGGACGAACCCATCCAATAACATCATCATCATCACCGCCATTATCATCATTATCATCATTATTATCACCATCATCATCAACTATTTTCTTAAAAAAAATTAAAAATTTAAAAAAAAAAAAAATGCACTGCATAAAATGCGCATGATGCGCATGAAATTTTGAAATTTCATGTCATTTGTCATTGGAACTGGAATTTAACATCGCTGATCAGAATCAATTGCTAATATAAATTGATTTAGTAATTAAATTTAGTAATTGTAAATTGTATTTTTTTATTACATATGACCAATAGTACCAATATTTATTATAAAAGATAAATGGTAAAAATACTAATGTATGCTGAGACATTTGGAAAGTTTTCACAATGTAAATTAGATATTTATTTGATCAAAAAAGTCAATGGAAAGCAAACCCTTCAGTTGAGACTGAGTTAAGGATAACCATCCAGATTTTGATGTGAGTATCAATGGTGATTCTCCTCATATTGTGGCTACTCAAAAAGATTTTCCAGACAAGATTTTTGTAGTGCCTGACTATAAGATGAACAGAGAAGTCCAAGCTCCTAATATCTACCATTTGAAAACTAGTGTCAGTGATCTAAAATACCAAAACTTTACCAAAGGAGCTGCTGAGGAATATAAAAACAATACTTCAAAAAATTTGATAGTAAATCTATTTGGTCATGACTAACAGGTATAACTCTAATCTTAGGTTTTATGATTGCTATAATTTATGTTGCTAAAGGACTAAAAAGAAAAAATAGATAGATAAAATATTGTAATAATAAGATTATTTTCCTTCTAAGGATTTCTGCTTTTTGTTAGGTAATAGCATACTTTCATTCTGCTTTCTTTTTCTAACATTTATTATTTTTCTTTCTTCTTGGTAAATTTCATAGGTAATTCTTTCTTTTTTTAGATAAGCTTCAAGTGTCTGAGTATCATTTATTTTGAAAACATAAGGAGCAATTTTTTCACCTTGTTCCTTTTTTAAAATACTTCTAATGGTGCTGTAATTCTTGGGTTCCCATAGTAGATCTGATGTAAATTAGCTTCATATTAACTATTTTTATATAGGTAATTCTATATATCACTTTAAGATAACAAATGGGATATTATTATAAAACTGTTAATTATATAATCATGTTACAAATTTGAAATTTGGCCACGAGGCACAGTAAATGGTGGTTTAAGAGGTCTCGCACCATATAATAAAACTTTTGAGAAAATTTTTTTAAAAATAAAATACCAATATAAAACGTCATAAATAATAACTTAGATCTTATTTATTAAAAAATTATTACATGTCTTCCAAATTTTGAATTATCAGAAGATTGCATGGAATTATCACATGAGAACTCTAGTGGATTAGATGATTTACAGTTAGAGAAAAATGGATTGATGCTTGATGCAGTTCAGGATTTGCGATTATTTTTTAAAGACTGTAGCTGCCGTAAAAGTATAAATAGAATATGTTTTAAAAAAATTGGCTTCGAATTAAAAAAAACATTCTAATTTAAAATTAGAGTTTTTTGAAAGCAACTAGATTATAAATAGAAGTCAAACGAGACAACTTGGTATTTTGTAAAGATAATTAATATAATTAATACGTAAAATATTACATCATAATTTATTTTAAATAAGGAACATGAGAAAGGGGGAAAATATACAGTTAATTCTCTCTATAACCAAACCCTCTATAACGAACACTAAGTAAAATATATAATGAACCCCTCTTTTGTCCCTGATTCATTTTTCTCACCCTATAATGAACATCTTGGTATACACTACAAAGGCAGAAATTACATATAATGATGGAAGGTCGTTATAGAGAGAATGAACCATATCCTGTTTATTTTTATTTACTTGTCAATTTTTGTTCGCTAATAGTATTCATCCTCTTATCATTCAACAGATGATATTACAAATATAAAATTCGTGTTACGTAAACTTTACCCTTAACCGGCTAGTAACTGGTTTATTTGAAGAAATTTTTATAACCATATTAGTATAGTTAGTAATAGATCCGTCAATTAAATTTTGACATTTACCATGAATGTAATTTTAAAGTATTGTACAAAATGATCATATAAAAATATAAGTAACTTCTTGTATAAATTTTTTTTAATTAAAAAAAAATGTCTCAAAATTTAAATAATGCTAAACGTCGTAACCGTAAAAAACATAATAAAAATGAAAATTCAAAGTCTTCTGATGATCATGCAAGCGTGGACGGCTTTGATTCAACTAGTTCAACTCAAACATCTTGTTCCAGTAGTGGCAGTATCTCCTCCCATTCAAAGACAGAAAGTGAATTTAGAAAAAAAAAAAACATATCTTCACCAGAAATGGTTGAAGAGTTTGTTAGCGATACATTTTTTTTAAAACACGAAGAGAAAAGGCCTTTTCTTACGAAGAAACGTGTTGTTTTTACTGCAGGGATAATGTTTGGTCTTTTGATAGCCTCGTTCTTTGCCCCACAAGCTAAAGACTTGCAATTATTATCGGATTTTATAGCTATGTCTTTTCTAGATTTGGATTTTACCAAAATGTTACCAGCCAATGTTATAGTGGAGGAATTATTAGGAAATATCACCATGTATTTAAGACCTAATATATCAATACTAGCTGATACTGAATTCTTACCTGGTTTAGATTTGGCTAAAATTGAAGGTATAAGCGCTTATCATCCTGTTACATTAATACCTGGTATCGTTTCAACTGTAAATATCAAAAATTAATATTTTGTTGTGATGATTTGATTTTTTTAAAAAAATCATTAATTAAATATATTTTAATAAGGGGTTGGAAAGTTGGAGTACATCAAATTGTTCTAGACCATATTTTAGAAAGCGAATGTGGGGTACTACAAGTAGGTTTTTTATCCCTTTTTCCTTTCTATCTATTTTTAATAAAAATGATTTTGTTTAATAACAAATAATAAAACTTATATAGCAATGTTTCGAGCAATTCTTATGGATAAAGAATGCTGGAGACATCATATGAGACTTGATCCAATTACTGGATTAGATCCACCTGGAGTTAAATTACGGGCTGCTCAAGGTTATTTAAAATAAAATGCTATAAATAATGAAATAAGATACATAAGTCCCAAAGCTCCTGTTATCACCCAACCATCTTTCTATTATTATTATTATTATTATTATTATTATTATTTAAAGAGAATTCATAAATGATCTTTGATCAATTTTTGAAGACAATAATAAAAGAATATGGAATGCTCATATTGTTTGCTGAATATTATTAACTTGCTAATTAGGTTTGGATGCTGCTGATTATTTATTTCCTGGGTAAGTTGATATTAATATTAGCAATATTTTGATAAATATTTATTTATTTAAATATTAAAACGGATTTATAAATGGATTAATTAGCTATTGGGTTTGGGGTAAGCAAATTTTTTCACTTCAAAAACAAATTATAACTATATTATTTATTTATTGTATAAATTCATCTATTATAGGTAAAATGATTCAAAATCTTGCCGCAATTGGATATGATAATAATAATATGCACCTTGCTGCTTATGATTGGAGATTATCATTTTACAATCTTGAAATCCGTGATAAATATTTTTCCAAGCTTAAGGCTAATCTTGAACTTGCAAAGAAAAGCGAAGGAAGGAAATCTGTAGTTGTTGGACATTCAATGGGTAATAAATAAAAATTTTTTTGAGAAATTAAATTTCTTTTTTTTAAACAATAATAATTATATTTTTGTTATTATTTCTTATAGGATCATTGATTGCTTTATATTTCTTTAAATGGGTTGAATCACCTTCCGGTGGTAATGGTGGTCCAAATTGGGTTAATGATAACATCGAAGCATTTGTTAATATCGCTGGACCTTTATTAGGGTTACCTAAAGCTTTATCTGCATTACTTTCAGGTTTATTTTACAATAAAATATTTAATAACAATAACTTATTATTATTACTGTTTTAAATCAAATTAATTGCATAAATTACAGGTGAAATGCGTGACACAGTTGAATTAGGTGCCTTTGGAATTTATTTATTAGAAAAATTTTTTTCTAAACGTGAACGTGCAGATTTATTTAGAACATGGGGTGGACTTTCCTCAATGCTACCAAAGGGTGGTGAGGCAATTTGGGGTAATATAACGCATGCACCGGATGATCGTCACGATATCATGGAATCTTATGGCCCAATGTTAACATTTAGATGCAATAATAGTAATAATAATAACAATAATAGTGACAGCGATAACAAGAATGTAACAAGAGACGTAATTCATAAATATCATACATGTAATTCAGGAGTTAAATTCTTACATAAGTATACAAATCCAATATTCAATAATATGTTGGCAAGAAATTATAGTTATGGAATTTCAACAAAAAAGGAGGAACTTGAGCAGAAGGATGACGACAAGGATGATGATAAGGTGTTGAAACATGCGAAATGGACTAATCCTTTAGAATCTCAATTACCAAATGCACCAGATATGAAGATTTATTGTTTATATGGGTGGGGCAAAGAAACAGAACGAAGATATTATTATTCACACAATGGAGGACTTGATTTTAATGAGGAGGATGGAAATAAATTGAATTTGAAAGAAGAGATTAATGAATTTTTTAAGAATATTTTCATAGATAGCACAATGAATTCTGAACGTGATCCTCATCTAAAGAGCGGTATATATAATGGGGAAGGGTATGCGTTATTATTATTGCTATTGTGATTTTTGTTGATAGTGATAATAATATATGATATTATTGTTTATTTTTGTAGAGATGGTACGGTTCCCTTAATATCACTTGGTTATATGTGTACGAAAGGATGGAAAAATCCATTATACAATCCAGCTAATATAAAGGTCATAACAAGGGAATTTCAACATGAAACCACAAGTTTTGATTTACGTGGTGGAGCAAAAACAGCAGACCATGTTGATATCATGGGAAATTATGCACTCACGGTAATGTAAAAAAGTTTTAGTTGACGAGATAATCATTATGATTAATTAATAAACTTTTCCTTTTTTATATAATAGGAGGATGTTTTACGTGTTGCATCTGGTGACAAACTTGAGGATAGAATATTTTCTAGAATTTTAGAATATTCTGAAAAAGTTCAAATTTAGTTGTAGATATTTTTTTTTCCTTTTGATAAAATCATTCTTCATTCATTAGACTTTCTTTTTTAATATAATAAAATTAAATATAAAATAATTGTTGAAAACATGTATGATTTAAACATTAATTATTTTTGATGTGATACAAGTGATATATTAATGGATTTTTTTTTAAAAAGGAAATAGCTCTTTATCTTCGAAACAAAAATATTCTATAATGTCATATTAATAAGCTTTCGAGTAGGTAACTCAATTACAAATTCTATTTAATCCTTCCCTATCACCATTATCCTACCATCTTGTTATAAAAAACACTCAACATGCAACTTTTATACCAAAAACTGCTAAGGTAGTTAATTCTAACCTTCGTAGACTCAAATCTTTATCAAAAAATTTATAATTTGAATCTCCTTCATATTTATTATTATGAACAATTTGATCATAAAAATGTTGTACATTTATTAAATTATCTTTTAAATATTCTATCCTTTGAGATTTTGATGGATGGTGTTTAAATAATATTGAAGGATTAACATTTTCACTCTTTATATTGTGATCAATCCCCTCACCCGTGTTAATAATATTGTTGTTCATTTCATCTAATTCCTTCATCTTTTCCCATAATTCAATAGCTTTCATTGGATTATAACCAGACCTTGCCATTATCTGTTGTCCCAACAAATCAGCCTCTTTCTCTAATTCTTGTGAATGTTTTTCCAAATATCTTTTAATATATTTATTACTGCTGTTATGATTGCTAGTAAAGAATAATAATTGATCAAAAAAACCTGTTAAGCTCCAAACACCATAAAATTCAATTGCATGATCTTGCATAATATGAGCCAATTCATGTGCCAAAACTGAAGCCAACAATTCTTCATCATAATCAATAAATCTTAACCAACAAGTTGTCACCGTTATATCTGATGAAGCATAACTAACACCATCCAACATTTCATCATCGTAAATTAGATGAACTTTGGGTTTCTGATGATGTAGATGCGAGGAAAAAGAATTTTGGTTCCATTCAGCACCATGATTTAATATTTTCTTATTCTTATTATTGTTATTATAATTATAATTTTCTTTTTCTTGATCATATTCCTCATAATCCATAGATTCCACTCCACATTTCCATAATCTATTGATCACATGATCAATCAATTGTAATCTTGGATCTTGTTGATCAGTGATGGTTGGAAGTTGAGTGATGTGTTGTTTAGAAATTTTGACCAATTCGCCAATTTCCCATGACCATAATGGCATCATTAATCGTAATCGATTGGTATTAGGTGCTTTATCGAGACTGGTAAAGAAGAAGTAAAGTGTTGGAATGATTAGTGTTGTGGTTGTTAATAATAATATTGAATGTCTTAAAAAATAGGATGAAGATGACGAGGTGGTGGTAGAATGTGTTAATATTTGTCTGAATAGTGGTAATTGGTGTGAATGTGATGGTAATTGATGCGTATGAACTGTTGTTGAATAAAATCTTGGAATGAATTGATGATTTTGATAAAAATTATATGGTTTGAAAAAATACTCATTTTTTTGTAATAATAAAAATTTTAAACGTTTCGTTCCTAATGATGTTGTATTGTGTTGTATTTGTAAAGATCTAATCGATCTAAATAGTATCTTATTAGCAATCATTTTTGTTTTTTTTTAAATTAAAAAAGAATATTTTTCTTTGGGTATTTAACCAAAATCCATGTACGCATTTATATATAGGATAAATGATTACTACCACAAAATATAATTATTAATCAAATCATCTAATACTATTATTAATAAACCATGATGTGGAACTCGCTGTCGAAAGATTTTTTTGGTTTGTTGATGTAAATATATTGTCGGAAAATCCCGGATGACATACATTGGCTGATACTAATACTAATTGCATCATGATGAAAAAAGTTTTTTTTTTTTTTATAATCACACCATATTAATATTAATAATCTTATTAATATCACACCATTATATTCGAAAAATTATTGTTACCATGTGATTACATTAAAAAACAATATTGGTTTTTGGAAATAAAGAGTGTGTTTCTAAATGTCATGAGGTTGTCTATATTTATTGATTTTTTTTTAAAAAATTTTATAACAAGAAATATTTAAATGTAGATAGTATAGGTGTGTGCATTGAGAGGAAAGTATATTTAAAACGAATGGTTGTAGTTAGAAAAAAAATTGGGCTATTAAAACGTTTTAGAGTTCAATATTATCACTACAGTTTACTGCCATTCGGACAGTCTGGGTGTTTTGTAAATCGTAAAACAAACAATTGGACATTGGAGAGATGGCTCACTTTAAAAATAATCGAACAGTTTCCTCAGATATATGTGCAAGGTCAGAAGATAGAGATGTAGTATTATTATATAATATGGAAAGAAATAAAATTGTTAGGCAGTAAACAAATTGACTTGTCAGATTATGTGTAAATGGAGGAGCACATCATAAATATTTTCTCGTTAATTTGCTTTATCAAACAATTAATTTTGAATAAAATATACAGTCGAAAAGTATTTTAAAGTCATTCAGTGACAAAAAAATTTACTTCGGGAGTTGAGCAGCAGAGGATTTAAGTGATGTTATTAGCAATTAAGATATAGAGATCGAATAATCATAATAAATAATGAATTAAAAGGTTCAAGCTAATCGATAACATTATATTTTATTATTATTTATAGTAAAGGTAAAATTCGAAATAATTTGATGTATTAAAAATTGCCCATTAAATATATTTTTCTAACTGATTGCGGTTATCATTATCATTATTATTATTATTAAAATAAATGGATAATTACAATCCTTTAAAGTTCTCATGAATCTTGACAATTTATGAAAACTTGCAAGAAAAAAAATCCTTATTTTTGAAAATCATACTTGTGTGATTTCCAATTTTCGAATTTATATCACGATCACGATCAAATTATTTTTTTTTTTTAAAAAAAAAATATAATGTCGCAATCAATATCACTATCTTTTGGTCCACCATTAGAAACTTGGAATAAAGGAGTGGATCAAATATTCTATTCAAATATTTCAGGTTTTTAAGTTTTTAAAGTAAAAATTTAGACACGTATCGTAAGTTTATTGACTTTTATATTATTTTAAAAAGAATGTACTGCTCGAACAGTTGAACCTGTCGGTCAATATTTTTTTTCCTACGCTCGTCAAAAACTCGATAACTCCTTTTTCAATTTGGATGAACACATGAATGTTGAAACGCAAGTAGGAGAAGATGAGTTATTATCTGAAGAATCTGAGGAAGAAGCAGTTGAATTATTAAATCGCGATCCGAAAGAGTGGAAGGTAAACAAATGGTTTAATTTTTTTTATAAAAATTTATAGTTTTACATTATTTATATATATATATATATATATATATATATTTAGGAACAAGATCATTACGCAGTTCTAGGACTTTCAAAGTATAGATGGGATGCTACCGATGAACAAATTAAACGTGCATGTATGTGTGTGGTTTGATTTAAATTGATCTCATTCTTGACAATTAATTGATTAATTTTTTTAATTTATTCATAATAATGTGTTTTAGACAGAAAGAAAGTTCTTAAACATCACCCAGATAAAAAGGCATCAAGTGGAAACACCAACGACGATGCCTTTTTCAAATGTATTCAAAAAGGTATTAAAATTATTATTAAAATTATTATTCTTACTATTATTATTGTTATTATTATTATTATTAATTTTAATTTATTTTGAATCAGCACACGAAGTACTTTCTGATCAGACTAAACGTCGACAATTTGATTCAATTGATCCTGCAATTGATGATTCGATACCACCAACCATTAAGACAAAGGGTAGCTTTTTTCAAGTATATGGACCAGTTTTTAAAAGGGAAGCTAGGTATGATTGTTATTATAAATTGTTTTTTTGTTTGATATTATTTTTTTTTATATTGATTTCTTTTAATAGATTATTTTTCTTTTACTTTTATAATAAAAAGATTTTCTAATATAACACCAGTGCCTATGTTGGGCGACATAAATACTTCTAAAGAAGAAGTTGAATTATTCTATAATTTTTGGTAATTTCTATTCCGTTTTATTTTAATTATTATTATTAACATTCATAAATTAATGTATTTAATACGTGCTTTGTATTCAAGGTACAATTTTGATTCATGGCGATCATTTGAATATTTAGATAAAGAAGATCTAGATAATACTGAAAAGTATATTTCAATTAAACAATCGTCTTTTAAATTGTTATTTTTTTAATCATTATTATTTATATATACATTAGTCGAGATGATAAGCGTTATCTTGAAAAAAAAAATAAAGCAGAAAGAGCAAAGCGTAAAAAAGAAGATACAGTCCGACTGAGAAAGATTATAGGTAAATAAAATAATTTTTATAATAAAATCCATGATATAATGTTTCTTTTTCAAACGAGATAATAATTGGTTGGCATCATATTATATATATATAATCCACAAAGACCAAGCCGTGTCTTCTGATCCACGTATTATTAAATTTAGACAAGAAGAAAAGGCAGCCAAGGAAGCCAAGAAAAAAGAAAAAGAAGCAGCGGCATTAAAAGCTCAGGAGGAAGCAAAAAAGGTAAACTTTTAAACATCTTCATATCCACTGATTTCTGCAATGTTACACGACACCAGCTACATATAACCAATTCACAGACTATGAAACCCAATTCACAAGTAGAATCTCAACAAAATATTGAACTATTTTTTAATATTCTGTAAATGACTGGTATTTTATTATGATATCCGTGTGTTATCTGGTATAGGTTGATTGAGTATATTTTATTTTTTGCTTACTTTGTTTACTCAAAACTTTGTACCCCAAAATGTTATGCAAATCGGTGGATATGTTTTAGAAAAGGATTTTTTTTTAATCATACAAAAATATAATGATATTTTTCTAAATAGGCGGTTGAAGAAGAACGACTAAAAAAAGAAAAGGCTGAGGCTGAAGCAAAACTAAAAGTTGGTTTTATCAATTTATTTGATTTAATATGTATGATGCAGTGCCATATTTTAATAATAACATTTTTATTGTTAGCAACTCGATGAAAAAAAAGACAAGACAGCAAAAAAGAAGGCAATGAGAAACGAACGAAAGAATATTAAGACAAACCTTAAGGTACTTGCTTGCATACTATTAATTATTTTTATAAACAAACTTGTTTTATATTTTATAATTTTTCTTTGTTCGTAATAAAATCATTTTTATCCATATCATTGTTTTTAACAGTCACATAATTATTTTTATCCTGAAAATGAAAGACCATCTGCGGATATTATAGAAATTCAGCTATCAGAATTAGATATATTATTTGAAAATCTTTCTTTGGAGGAATTAAAAAATGTTAGAACTAAAATGGAATCTTCTAAAGACAGAAATGATGCAAAACAAGCCTTAATAGACGAGGCAACAAGACTTATCAAAAATGGTATTTTATCTTCAAGCTCGATCAAACATTTTTATTCAGGTATGCGTTTTCTCGCAAATATCAAAACTATTGTGATATTTTCACTATTTGGATATAATATCTTATCACGTGAATTTTTTCCTAATCAGGTTCCGAAGAAAAACCTGTTGAAAAGATAAAAAAAGTTGAAGTTACAACAAATGCACCAAAAGATCAATCTCCATGGAGTGAAGAAGAAACAACGTTATTGATTAAAGCTGCCAACAGATTTCCTGGTGGCACAATAGACAGGTAAATATTATTTTTAAATTAAAATAATTAGATCTTGTATTTTTTTTTATACCATTTTATATATATCTCATTTTCAACTATATAATAATAGATGGGAAAAAATAAGCGAGTATATTTCTATCCATTCTAAATCGCCTCCAAGAAAAACTGAAGATTTGGTTAAGAAATCTAGAGAAGTTCTAAAAGGCATAATAATACAACCAACATCCAAAAAATGAAATTCTTCACATATAAATCTACCTAAAATTGCTTTATGAATGAACATAGGATTAATTTAAAGTTATGTTATTGTTATGTAAAGACTAGACTTCGTAGGATAGAAATATTATAATTAATTAATTACACGCACGTTAAATTATTATTTCGTTGTTCTTAAATCAAATTTACATTTTTATAAAAAATAATAATCGATTCTACATCAAATAAAAAAATCTACAATTTGAAAAAAAAAAAAAAAAAAAACTAATAATTACAAATAATGAATATATTAATATATATTATATGTATATATTCATAAAAAAAAAAAAATCTAATTATCATTTTTTATAGTTGACATAATTGTGTTTTTATGTAATAATATAAAAATTTTAAGATCATAAACCAAGTCGAATGGTGGTCTTTGAAATCATTTACTAATTGCAATTGCGTTTCCAATTACCACCACTTTAAAATATTATTATTATTATTACTTACTACTACTACTACTACTACTACTTTTATTAATATTGCTATTGTTAAATAATAAAATTACATAATAATAAGGAAAAATTTAATTAGTGGCTTTTTTATTAAAAATTACAGAATCATTAGTTGGTCGTATCTGCCCGTATTCTAATCAATGTCTAGTCATTATATCTTCACATGTCTGCACACATTGTATCTGCACTCCTTGTCAATTATTCACACATTGTCTCTGTTATATACATTACTCAGATATATTACTATTACCTTTTTTTCTTATAACTTTTAAAAACTTATTCACTAATTTTTTTAGTTTTGGATAAATTATATTATTACCATTAACATTGTCTTCATTAACTGTAAATGAATCATCATAATAAGAAGATTCATCGCCCATACTACTACAGCCACTTATAATGCTATTATCATATTGTAATTCACTCCCATCAATATCATTATTTGAATGATCAATGATTTGATGATCGTATGGAATGTGAGGTCTTATGCACACATAATCAACAGACTAAATAATTAAATGATCAATAATTAATATATATATTAATAATAAATATATATTATATTTAAAAAAATGAATTACTTACGAATGGACCTTTGAGTGATTTTTTATTTTTTAGTAATTTATCACCCTGACATATAATCCCAGTGTGTATTTGATATCTTCTATCATCAAATTGTTCTTTTTTATTGATAATTATTTGATAAGGTAATCTGAAATGAAACCATCCTTTATCATAAAATGTGGAAAGTTCATCTGGATTAGGTGAATATTTATATTTCGATTCTCTTTCGTAGGAATTTAGATAAATATCATGCTAACAAAAAAAATTTTTTTTAATAATCATAAGTAAATTTATTAATGAATAATAATGATAATAAATTTACATAATAAATTATTATTATATGCTCACCCTTAACCAAATATCAGTATTAAAGTGTATTATTGGTTTACATGTAATTTTATCTATTTTCATACGCCAAATGATATCATATATACCAGGTGGAACATTACTCACTGTGATTTCAATCTAATAATATTTTATAAAATAGTTAGAAAAATTATAATTTTATATTATACAAGAAAAAATTTACTTACATTAAATGATCTTTGTTTCTCCTTTATTTTATTTCCTGGAGGACTATAAATCGAAGTAAATTATCAGTTAAATCAATCAATTTTATCGATCGATTCCTAGCTCTAATCCGATCATCATGATTATTACCTTTCTTCGTCATTTTTTTTATCAAAATCTTTGAATCTATAATAAGCACCAGATTTTCCTCGCGAATGTGCACTTTTAGTGGTCACTTTAACAGTCGATAATCTCATATAAGCTCTTAACCAATTAGGTTCAGCAAAGATAAGTTTTCCTTTTGATCTTTTCCATTTTCCCCTCCTATAAAGATTCTTTGGTTCCTCTTCTATAACATTCTTACCGTATTGTTCAAGTACTATTTGTTTCCATAAATAATTGTCTCGAGTATGGGATCTAATTTTTTTATTCACCTAAATAAATATAACAAATTGTTTGGTCATGATTAGTTATCACGTATAGCATACCAATGTAATTATTAATTAATTGATTAATCAATCGATCTTTTTTACCATAGATAATGAAATAATGTCAGTTGCTTCTAAACTATTCATAATATACATCATAATTTCGTGTGGTATTTTACTGAATCCATCTTTAGCAATTAAATCCATTATCGATTTATCCACCACTTCCACCTCATTATCATTATTATTTATTGTATTAACATTGGCAATATCATTATTATTACTACTATTGCTACTACTGCTATCATTATTAATTATGGTATTATTAATAGTGGTAGTAATTGATCTTTGCATGATTATTGATGATGCAATTGCAGTCGGCGAACAGGAAGAAGAAGATAACATTAGAGCATAATTCAAATTTGAATTATGATTAGTACTTCTGTTATTTTTTGATTCATATTCAGTTTGCCATGTATGAAAATGAAGCCTTTTCCTAGATGGAGTTGTCGGATAAAATATTATTGATAATCCGTTTTGTTGTTGCATAACTTAAAATGGGGATTTTTAAATTAATTAAATAATTAAAGAAAGTAAAGAAAGTGGGAAAGCAAGAAAGTAGAAGAAATAATTTGAAAAAATTCCTTTTTTTTTTTTTATATTTTTATATATGATATAAATATTTATTATTTGCATTTTTTTTTTACAAAACCAATCAATTAAAAAAAATTTTAGAATTAAATTATCTATAACTATGTGGAAAATAAAGTTAGCATAATATCATTAATAATATCCATAATTATTAAATAAGCATGCAACAATAAAAATCAACAAATATTACAACTTTTTAGGAAAATAACTAGGGAAAATTTATTTATTTATTTTTACTTTATTAGTCAGTTAGTTCATTAATTCCAGTTCATACATAGTTCATACATAATGTGTTTAACGCACATAAACATTGTTTATGTTTAATGATTTTGTTGATCTATCTGATAGATTATGAATTCTCTCTAGATTCTTAATCACCTGCAATTTTGACATATTAATAATATGTTTGTTATTTTTTGCAATTGGTTATGTTTTACGTTTCATATGATCGAGGTTACGGTTACACAATTTGTATAACATCCAAAAATTTGGCCTATGTTCTTTAAATATTAATTTTACATGCCAATTGGGAAAAACAACGAATAGAGAAAATATGGCATTACTATGAAGGTCACGTGATTG